TTACTAAATAGGACATCAACAGGAGGGAATGCACATCCCCTCAAAACTAGATGTAGACCTAACGGGTAAATCACTGGCCCATATGGGACCACCAAGCAACCCACCTGCCCAGAGCCATAATATGAGCCATCCAGTCCCCCGCAGTCTGTGGCATTGGAGTGAGCATGCACACAAGCACCGATAGCGCGACATGGTAGGCAAAGGACTGACCCATGTGCAATAGCCGGGGAACCGGATGGGGGGCCCGCAGCTGTACAGATGCAGGAGGGGACAGCGACCGCATCAGCTGGATTCACCGGTCATATAATTAGAATATCAAAAAGTTGATTTATTTCAGTAATTCCATTCAAAAAGTGAAACTTGTCTAATGTATACATTCATTCCACACAGACTGATATATTTCAAGTGTTCATTCCTTTTAATTTTGATGATTATAACTGACAACTAATGAAAACCCCAAAATCAGGATCTCAGAAAATTTGAATATTGTGAAAAGGTTCAATATTGAAGACACCTGGTGCCACAGGGATAACCGCACCCTGGAGAGGATTGTGAAACAAATCCCATTCAAAAATGTGGGGGAGATTCACAAAGAGTGGACTGCAGCTGGAGTCAGTGCTTCAAGAACCACCACGCACAGACGTATGCAAGACATGGGTTTCAGCTGTCGCATTCCTTGTGTCAAGCCACTCTTGAACAAGACACAGCATCAGAACGTCTCGCTGGACTAAAGACAAAAAGGACTGGACTGCTGCTGAGTGGTCCAAAGTTATGTTCTCTGATGAAAGTAAATTTTGCATTTCCTATGAAAATCAAGGTCCCAGAGTCTGGAGGAAGAGAGGAGAGGCACAGAATCCACGTTGCTTGAAGTACAGTGTTTCCAGAGTTTCCACAGTCAGTGATGGTTTGGGGGCCATGACATCTGCTGGTGTTTGTCCACTGTGTTTTCTGAGGTCCAAGGTCAACGCAGCCGTCTACCAGGAAGTTTTAGAGCACTTCATGCTTCCTGCTGCTGACCAACTTAATGGAGATGCAGATTCATTTTCCAACAGGATTGGCACCTGCACACAGTGCCAAAGCTACCAGTACTGGTTTAAGGACCATGGTATCCCTGTTCTTAATTGGCCAGCAAACTTGCCTGACCTTCACCCTATAGAAAATCTATGGGGTATTGTGAAGAGGAAGATGTGATACGCCAGACCCAACAATGCAGAAGAGCTGAAGGCCACTATCAGAGCAACCTGGGCTCTCAACACCTGAGCAGTGCCACAGACCGACTGATCGACTCCATGCCACGCCGCATGCTGCAGTAATTCAGGCAAAAGGAGCCCCAACTAAGTATGATTGGACTGCACCATTCACCAGAGGAACTTCTCTCAAGAGGGCCCACTATATCCATGCCTATTCTTTCAAATGGTGTGTCTATTATAGGCAATGGCTGAAGCTGGGCACGGGCCACTCCTTTGTTTGAGGTCAACTGACATGTCTGACATGATGCACAAAACTGCTGTACTTGAGTGTACATGCCTGACCACACAAATCGCCTAGCAATTCTATTTAGGACTTTTGAAATGCTAAATGGCCTGCCCAGGGGATTGAATGACCAAGTTCAATGACTTTCTGCCTAAGAGCCTGTGGCAAAGCAATGGCCTCAGTCTTGCCTTTGCACTGATAAAGAATACCATCTCTCACGGCATAGGTTGCTTCTGCAAGAACATCTGTTCGTCCCTGCTTCTTCCCTTCAACCGCTGAGACTTTATCAAACCAGGGCTTTAAGGTCGGGTCAGTCTGCTGCTGTGCTGATAAATCAGAGGGCACATCAAACTCCAGAAACTGAGTGGGCTTCTGTGCTGTACAACTTCTGGCCTAGCTTATCCCTTCTCCTCTGAGCTCTGGACTTCTGCTAGGCTTGCAGCCCCTCTGCAGACTTAGGAGCCCGTTCCTGTATCCACACCTCCAACTCCGGATTCACCATCCTCAGAAACTGCTCCAGGATCATCACTTCAGAAATGTCCTTCACAGTGGATTTCTCTGGTTTCACCCACTTGTGAAACAAGTTTTTAAGGCGGACATATAGTTCCCTTGGAGTCTCATCTCATTCCCAGTAACTAGTAGTGTAACGGTATGTAACGTTAGTATTTCTAAAACAGTAATATTACAGGTACCAATCCAAGTAACGCTGCGGTACTGAGTTACTGAATGCACCGCCCTTGGCATGAATTCACAACATGGCGGCAGGTCAGCTGCACTGGACCTGATGTTATTCAAGTCAGCTGTTAGTATAATGTTACTAAATTACTTACATAATCTCAGCAAATTCAATAAATTTTCACATACTGTATAGTTTAAAGCTAGTTTAGGCCTATTATGTATATTATGTTCCAGTGACCAGTTCCATATTGTTATTCGAGTGACCAGTGTTGGGAAGTAACTGTTACACGTTCTTAGAGAAATAAGCAAGATACACAAATGGCATCAGATTATTGGACAGGATAAATACAGAGTGACATTTATACATTCAACGGCATTTCAGACGATGGCCTGTAATACTTATTTTGTCCATTTGGGGGAGCGTGGGTTACATGACGATAGCTTTGATTCATTAAAATGAATAACGGTCAGGGATCCTTGCTGCAAATTAAAACACTGCGAAATTAACTTATTTAGATTCTTTTCAACAACAAATAACACCAACATGGTAACATAACTATTCAAATGGAGGCAAACGCCACCACTAACTTAGCAAGGATTATTGTTTAAACAGAACAACAGTTTATA